GTTCATGTGTAATAAGTGCCGTTCGACCATTGGAAAAGAGAATTCGCCATCCGGACATTTGATCTGATTTACCCTCAAAGGAGCAATAGGTTGATCATAGTCCTTCTCCATCAAATCTCGCAAAGGAATAACGAGAAATTCATGACGCCAAAGAAAGTCAGGATGGATGGGATACCCCAGAAATATTCCAGCCCTGGAAGTAGGTTCAAACTTCAAAGGCTTGTTGGGTCGATTCCTCGGGCCGGTCCAAAAGTTGACTTGACAACCAAAGGGCAAATATGGTCCGGGAAAATCTTCTCCAAAACGTACCTTCCATGGTGAATGATAATCTGGGTGGTCCGTGATGTTATGCGCCATGCAATAGTGTTTGGCCGCATGTGGCCAATACGAATGATGCAAACCAGCTTGTTCCAGGTTGGTCCTCGTGCCCTCGATAATCGCCTTTCCTCTCAGCAATAGCATTAGTTTTGGAAATATAGCTCGTACTTTGAACATGCTTCCATTCCAATTGATCTGCCGCTTTCACAAGTTCAGGAGCCCGATCACTGTAAAACACGTTCACGGTTTCCCCGGTGCGGACAAAGTGCTTGAATGCCATCACACACTGATGAGAGGTTTTCCGTGCTGCTGGGTAAACATAACGGAAATCAGTGGCAACATCTCGGACCACAAGTGCAACTCTAGATTGATCAATGCCGATTTCACGATCATCTGATGTGATAAGATGGTCCGCCGTAAGGTGATCACCAAACTTCTTGGCCTCGACTTGAGTGGAACCTCCCTTCTGTCTTGATGGATATTTGTACATCTTCGCCCTGTTACAAGTCTCGCAAAAGGGGTTTTTGGGAGTGTGACACATCAAGTGCTGGAGTGAGGTCGCCTCATCACGCAAAGCTGCTTCACCGCGTTCGCGAGGGGCGTCCTTCAAAATAGGCTTCGACACAAAATCGGAAGCGATGACCTTAGGCGCATCTTCGGAGGGAATGTCCTGGCACTCTTCAATGACCTCACCTTCCGGTTGGCTAATAGTGTCCTCAAGCAAGAAATCATCGTTCCCCAATTCATCCCCATCATCCTCATTGGTCACAAGCACCTCTTCAACAGCTTCCGGTTCCTCGTCAGTGACCAGAACTTCATCCTCAATTTCAATGGGAGCTGATGGTAATGATGTAACCTTTGGAATGCTCTGTGACAAAGCTGGAACAGCGTTTTGAGTTGCTGGGGCAATGAATGGAACATTGTCTTTGACCTCGAGCTTGATACGTGAACCATCCGGAAGTCGGAAATAAGGTCTGCTGTGGGCTCTCCAAACGAAATCATATCCGTCCCTGAGGCATCTCATACCCACGGATAACACGGATGGAGCCTTGTCAAGAACATATGGCCGAACAACACTGTCGGTCTGTTGGATTTTGACCCTGGCCTGCTTGGTACCGATAATATTCCCATTGGCTGTGGAAAACTTCAGAGGTTGAGACGATTCGTAAATACATCCCATCTCCGCATCGGTTCCCGATAGCAAGTCCTGAGAAGCTCCTGTATCTGCGATCCACGGAATGTGAGAAGAATCCATTGTCATACGAGCAACAGCAGCTTTCCCCTTTTTGGGGGAGGTCGCGGGCTTCTCTGGCTCGGCCGTTAGGCCTGCGGGGATGCAGGAATCACAGCCGAGATCAGAGTCGCATTGAAATTTGCAAGGAGTCTTCGTGCCTTTGAGCAAATCCTTCATCATAGCTTCATGCATGGTGCCGATAAGAATTGCGTCAGAGACGGCTCTCTCATCGAACTTCGGAACATAATCAACAGGAAACTCTGCAAACCTTCTCGACGAGGCAGTGTAGGGCCAAAGCTCGCCGTCAGTCTCATAGTTCGAAATGGATGGGTAATCAGAAAATTGCACGCACTTCTTGATGCATGGCATACTCTGGAAAACATCGTGAGTCACACTAGGCAAGCAAGGATGCGAGGCGACCGAGTCGAAGGTCGCGGCGCACACCATCGCCTGGAGGAGGCACACCGCAGCATTGCTGCCTTTTGACGATCGCGGAGACTTGAGGGACTGAGAACCCTTTGAATCTTTCGAATCTTGAGAAGAAGGCCTGCTATCCTTCTTCCCCTTTTTCTTTTTCTTGTCCCTCGGCGACGTCTTGGGGGTGTCTCCACTAGCGGTCTTCTCGGCCTTTGGGGCTGGAGCTGCCTTGGAAGTTGCGGGGTGCTGCCATGGGCAATCTTTCCCTCTCTCACATCTGTTCGCTTTGAAGAACTTGCACACCTGGGGCTTCGAACCAGGGGGACTCTGCGAACGATACTTCCTTGGCGTCTGGGGTCTGGACCCGCCCTTCTTGCCTTTCCCCTTACCTTTCGGTGCCTTAACATGTTCGAATCGGCAGTCTGAACCATAGGTGCACTGGCCAGTTTGAAATTTGATGCATACACCCTTGGGGATTCCAGGAACTGCAGGGTTGTTCGATGGAGTCCTGCCACGCCCCGTTGTGTTGCTTGACATAGCATCCCGCATGTGAACAAGCCTCTTGCGCTCCAAATAATTCCTCGATGCGTCAATCAAGAATTTATAGGAGTGCTTTTCCGTCCCTTCCTCAGCCCGCTCATACTCATTGAGATCATGACTGAGGGGCCGAAACTTTCGAATCTGGCGGTGGAACAGCGCTTCAAGGGTCTTCTCATTTTGCTCATTGCCCATTCCAGCGATGACCGTGTCCCATCTCGTCATGAAGTTCTGAGGTCCTCGTTGATGAGCTGGACAGAGAGCAAGTCCTCAAAGTCGTAAATTGCACCATGTTTGATGTTCGTGCTGAAGTGCTTGTGAACCATCAAAAGAATTTGGCGCCCCCTCGCATAGCGTTTCTCCTTTGCTTCTTGTTCTTTGAAAATGTCGACTTGCCGCGCGAGGTCGCCCTCCAAGATATTCGTCAACGCCGATGCCAGCTTTGCATCAAGATGGACAAACATTCCTGAATCACGAAGGACTTCAACAGTTTGACCTGGGATCCAAGTTGCCTCAATCCATTCGAATGCCTTTTCGGGTTGGTCGGAAGTAGCAACAACAGCATCCCTAACTTTGATCCTCCAATTACGGTACTGTTCGGGCTTCGGGAATCGGGGAATCTGAATTCTGTCACCCTCCTTTACACGAACGCGTTCCGCTGTCGGATCGCTCGAATTACCTAAGTGCTTCAGTAGCTTTCGTCGAAAGGATTCATCCGATGCAGTCGAAGTTGATGACGAAGATGACGAGGGAGAAGATGACGGATCTCGTCGCCGGCGTCGGCTACGGTCCTTCTTCTTTTTCTTCTTCTTCTTCTTTTTCTTGTCCTTGTCATTTCCACCATCATCGCAAGGCCAACCGTCTCCGGTAGCAGCATCGTCCACGGCCCCGGCGGGAACGGATCCGTCTTTGCCGTAGGGGTCGCTCCCGACCTTCGTCCAACTGTGCGAGGAAGCATTCGAAAGTCCGGGTGGAGATGCAGCCAAAGGAACTGTCGGGATAGCCAAGGGGGTAGCTGGTGCCTGCTGAACAGGAGGCGCAGGGACAGGAGCAGGTTGAGCAGGCGGTTGCTGTTGATTCTGCATCATCTGCTCGACCATAGCCCTTAGCTCTCTGATCTGTCTCTCCTGCTCGCTGATCGTGTTGATGGCGTTTTGGTACTTCATCTCGGCTTCTCTTTCTGACTTCATGGTGTTCACACGCTGCTCAGCATTCATCTGAATCTCGCGTCTCATGGCCTCCGACTGGCTTTGGAGACCGGCAATGATCTCACCATGCCTTGCCTCCGCCATCTGGGCGACCATGGGACCGGTGTCCTGATTCACGAACTGGTTGAATTGGGCATTGTTCTGGGTAGCGTTGATCTGCTGATAATTCGTCACGTCCTGGTTGATCGTCATCGAAGGATCGAGGTGGACGTTTGCAACATGTTGGTTGAACTGATTCATGGACTGTGGCATAGGGTTTCCCCTTGCGAGATCGGTCTGGGGGTCGTACATGACGATGTCACCATGCCGATGCCGATCTGATCCAACAGGTGAAGGAGATCGAGCACCAGACCGCCCAGTCCTCCCACGGTCACTCCGGGATCGAAGCGATTCGGGGCCCTGACTGCTCAGTGCTTGTCCCTTCCTGATGAGCTCCCTGGCCACTTGGGAGTTTGCTCGACTAGTCGGTTCATATTGCGAGGCGTCTTCATCGCCTGCGGGCTCATCAGGTGTGGGACGCACCTCGGTATGGGGTAGTCCAGGGTCGCCATCCATGGCGTACAACTCTGTACAAAGAGCCGCTTACGGCTGATAACCTATAGAACAGGTTAAACAACCGGGAAGGGTCACAATTGAACCCTGTACTCAGCGCGCTTTTTCCTTGAGCCATATGCAGTCGTAATGATGAGACTGCACAAGTGAGACATTCATGCATTGGGGTTTAACATGGTTGATAAATACATCACGTTGCAAACTACAGGAGGAAACCCTGCGGGAAACCATGGGAAAGGGTCACAGGACCCCATTCATCCGATTCGAGAGGGACAGTGACCCGGAAAGGGGACCAGTTCTTTTGTGGTTGACCATGTTTAGTGGGAAACACGTCAGCCAAGAATGGAAAACATGGGGTTCACTGAACAACTGGGCTTATATTTTGTTTGATTTCCACCGACAGCCTACTAGACCTTCGTTGGCGTTCCTACAAGGTGCCGCTGCCTGCTATGATTGCGAGGGGGCCGCAACCTTCGGAAAATGGAAGGCGTGGAAACCACATACAAGGATAAACTCCCTCGGATTAACATGGAAGCTCCCTAAACGCCACCTGCCATTGTCTCAAGCCCCCTGAGAAACATGTTTCCAGTCGATTCTTTTTGAACCTAACAGGAAAATAGACCATATTCTTTCCAGCAAATGGAAGCCACATGGAATCAAGTCTTCCATAGAAATGTCTGGAAGCTTCCTTGGAATCGCCTCGAGGGTGCCCAAAGCCAAAGGAGATGCATCGCCTGGCTCAGGGAGCCATCCGCCGCCATGCCATGGTCCGTGACGAAGACCGTCTCATCCACGTCCTGCCAAGGCGAGAGGCTTTTGGCGACCAAATTTCGGGGAACGAAATAGTTCCTACTAGCCTACTCCAAAAAGCATGACTCAAAATGGTATTCATACACCCCTCTAGTAAGTCGCCTTACTCCCAAAACAGTGGTTTCCCTTTGGCTTCCTGTAAGAAAACACTACAAAAGGGTCTATTCTCGACAACATGGCTGCGAATTACAAGCTTTTGTGCAATAGTAAAGTGCCTAGATTCCCGTCCCTACGACTACTCTGAAAGTGACATTCCCTTCACCACTCACCTAACATCCCAACGGTTCCCACAACAATAACCATGCCGAACCATGCCTTCCAACCAACGCCCTACACCTCTGGAAACAACGGAGCAGGACCAGGACCCGCATGTGGGTTGCTAAGCCCGCAGCGAACTGTGTCCCAATTAAAACCTGGTAATTACTGGGGCCCCCCACCAAATCCTCAACCACCAACGATCCAAAGGTTGTGTGGCTTAACGCGCGTCGGAACTACATTCACACTTCAAGAAGGATCCCCTAGCTATCAAGCAAAGTAGACCTAACCCCCTTTTTGAAACAAATATTCCTCTCAACCCCCGAAATCTCCGCCCCTGTGGCAAACATCGGCAAATAAAAATCTAACGCATGGGGGTGCCTCCCAACTGACCTCATCCCCCCAACTCTCGCCCCAAAATGAGAATGAGTTTGAAGGGTGGATTCCACTCCTTCCTTTGGCTTTCGTGACCAAGGCCCTTGCCATTGTTGGATTCCAATTTTTTGATTGGGTATGTGTCAAAGGGATGTGGCCCCAACAACTGTCCTCTTTTAACTTCCGGGCGGTGAAATGAATGTTCCCCACAAGGCACAACATCTGCAGCTATGCTTTTGGTTCCCCTTTAATTAAACCAAGTTGAATCAGTACCCGCAACCCCAACACACAACCCCCAAGATAAACACAAACAATCAACCAACCAACCAACCAACCAAACAAACAAACAAACAAACAAACAATCATTCAATCAATCAAACAATCAAACAAACACACACACACACACACACACACACACACACACACACACACACACACACACACACACACACACACACACACACACACACACACACACACACACACACACACACACACACACACACACACACACACACACACACACACTCACTCACTCACTCACTCACTCACTCACTCACTCACTCACACTCACTCACTCACTCACTCACTCACTCACTCACTCACTCACTCACTCACTCACTCACTCACTCACTCACTCACTCACTCACTCACTCACATCACTCACTCACTCACTCACTCACTCACTCACTCACTCACTCACTCACTCACTCACTCACTCACTCACTCACTCACTCACTCACTCACTCACTCACTCACTCACTCACTCACTCACTCACTCACTCACTCACACTCACTCACTCACTCACTCACTCACTCACTCACTCACTCACTCACTCACTCACTCACTCACTCACTCACTCACTCACTCACTCACTCACTCACTCACTCACTCACTCACTCACTCACTCACTCACTCACTCACTCACTCACTCACTCACCACTCACTCACTCACTCACTCACTCACTCACTCACTCACTCACTCACTCACTCACTCACTCACTCACTCACTCACTCACTCACTCACTCACTCACTCACTCACTCACTCACTCACTCACTCACTCACTCACTCACTCACTCACACGCACATATCACACACGCATTTTGAGGCATCTGGTTTGGGGGTTCTCTTCTTTTTGCTCTCCCATGGTAGGCACAGCCCCTCCAAAGAGGGGACCCCCCCAAAAAAAACCAAACACAACAACAACCCAAGCGCCCAAAAGGAAGTTGTATCACTCACTTCCTGAGAGGATGGGCCAAAAACAACAACCACACTTTTCGCTTACAACTAACATGGTCCAAACCCCAAAAAGTGGTTTAAGTCCAGGAACGAGATGGGAGTAAGCTGGGAGGCCCGAGGCTGGCAACCGTGGGCAGCCGTCTCCGGCCTTCAGGAGCAAGAGCCCGAACTGGCTGGGCTCATCCGCAAAAACCGCCACAAAGGCACAGTCCCCAGCGCTCAACGCCTGGGCTGTTTCAAGCAGCCTCGAAGCAGAAAGCAGGGCTCGGTCTTGAAATGGGCTTGTCCATTCTTCTTGAGGGCACCTATTTTGTTGGTTTAAAACAGGCACAAGCAGGAAAGTCACAATCTTGGCAGGTCCAACCCACTAAAAAACAAGCGCACATGTTTGTTTTTGTCTTAAAACTGGGAATCCACACACTTTGATGGACGAAATCCGTTCCAGGCACCGGTTGGTAAGTGGTTTGTCCCAGTCATAAAGCTTCATCCATCCTGGTGAAGGGTCTTGTCCCACAAAAGTGGCCTTTCACTGTGGGCTGCAACTGAGGCTGGGGAAAATAACAACCACAACCCCAAGACAATCACCTGGCGCATGGCCACCACATGGTCACTGCGCCACTACGATCACCACTACCCCCGACGGAAACGGAGTGTTTTAGCCGCTGAGTCGCCACCATTCCATAAAGGACATGTTCAAAATAGTGAGTCCCAAGTTCCGAAACCTCCCCAAGCGGCTTTCCTCAGCCAAACCACTTGGCGCCGCAACAGCACTTGTTCAAAATGGATGGCTCTTTTTGGCATTAACTTGATTTCAGGCAGGCAAATTGTGGAATTGAGGGACCCTCCTGGCCTTCGCTCCAGCCATGCACATTGCCAAGATGGACGCGGCCCGCGGCATGGCGACAAGAGATGGGCGATAGCGGAGTCGGAAGTGGAAAATGCCTGCGGTGCCATTCTGCTCGCTTCCTGCGTGGATTGGATCCAAACAAATGACCAGGCTTCTTATTTACCGCTAAAATCATCTTCTCAAAAAGTACCAAGTCCTAAACTCAGGGAGTGAGTTTATGCGTTCGAGACACGCCTGGAGTCTCCATGACCCTGTACAATGAGGTCATCCCTTTATTTTGGGTACTGATTCCTGTATGAGGCGGTGCTGCCTCCAAAAGCGGTCTGAGTCCTTGCCAGGAGGGGCCACCCTCCGATCACAACCAACCGGCGTTTATTAACTGGGTCCTCCAGTAGAGAGGTACGCCTTCTCTCTGCAGTCTATTTTGGTAGGGAAACCCTCCCCCAAAAAAGATATACTGGGGGACCTAGTTAATCTGGGGTGCCCATTAAGAACTGCCAAGAGGTGACAAACGGGTTGTCTTACCTTGACTTATGCTGAAGGATGCTGCCAGAACAGCTGGCAAGCTGGCGGGGAAGGCGGCTTCCTCCCGTTGCCTCCGCAAAGTGTTTTGAACACTTTGTGCCACAACTGGAGGTAGGCAAGGTTGTGGCATAGGAATTATACTGCTCGCTTCACTGGTGCCAATCAACATGCAAAACGTGTTCTAGCTCTACCCCAGGTATGTGGATCTAGTGTCCCACCACTCAACAGGAACCCAACAGCACTGCGGTGAAATATGACCTTTCTGCACCCCGGAATTCAGGTCGCATCCCGAGTTGACTCGCCCAACAAAGTCCAAACCTGTTGTTTACCACTCAACTGGGCTGTCCTCAGATCCCCCGCTAAAAGTCTCACTTTTAGTGGACTCAATGGAAGTCCCCACTTCACACTCAAAAGCTAAAAGGCTAAGGAACCGGATGGCTGGGAGCCACCAAGTCAAATGGTCCAAACCCCCAAAGTGACTCAAGTCCAGCAACTCAGAGAAGTGAGGCAGGCAAGGGATCCCCAAGTGAGCTTCAGCCACCCACCGAGCAAAGCTGCGGTCGGCCTGGAGCCCGCCTCAGCGCGAAAAGCACAAGACCCACTGAAGCTATCCCCCCACGCCACTCGTTTCTACCCCCATGCGAGACCTCAAAGCGAAGACTACCGGAAGCACGCGAAGGCTCTTCTAGCCCATGAAGCCTATGTTAGCACATGTTAGCACTAGCTTCCGGAACGCATGCCATGTCGAACATGTGCCGCTTGTGTTTTCAAAGGGGTCTGGGTGATGCACGTTACAATGTTGCACCAGCTTGCTGCTGCGGGCTCTCCATGAATTCTCCACCCAAAAAGGCTCCGAACGAGTTCGCACATGCATTGGCTGACTCTCCGCGCGCGCGCGGGCGCTTTGTCTCTGCTGAGCTCATAGTTTCTCAAAACACAAGCTGTCACTCGGAAGGGTTGGCCCTGTTGGAAAACATTGTGGCTGAGCCTGCGCAAACTACTGAAAGTCAGGCACCCGAAATCAGACCTCTGTCAGGAACTGTCCTCATGGCTGCCATTTCTGGCAACTTTGCGAGGTCTCGATTTGATTTCCCCAGTGAAGCCACCTCCCAACCTCCACCCAGCAAACCTCAAGCAAACAAACACATGAACGAACACAACATATTGAAATACCACATCAGCATCTTTTGGAGCCTTGCATGAGCATGGATGGGAAAAGGATGAATACGCACACAAACCCCCCAAACGGAAAAAGTCACTAACGTCGAGATCCAAGGCCAAGACTAAGGTCGATCTCCGGGACCACCCCGTACTTCCGACCTCACACCCGGCCAAGCGGATGCCCCTTTTCCACACATTCCCCCAGGCTGCGTTTCTAGGGGGGGACGTTAGGGCCAAAATTAAGGGAACCCCCCTACTGCAAATGGTTGCGAAACCCATTTCGCACCACCTAATGATGATTCCCCTGCCAATGCCAACAAACAATGGTTTCAACCATTGCTTCAAAGTGGTGCAAGATTTCGTCCATCCCTGGCAGGTCCAAACAAAGATGTTCTGTTTTCATTCGTGCCGACCGAATCCACCCAACACGTTGCACACTGGTTCTGGACACTTTGTGCTGGCATCATTTGATCAGAAGCTTCAGTCTATTTGACTGAAAGGCCCCTCCATGGCTCCAGACAGGCTGGAACTCGTGGGTGTCAAGTGACACTCTTTGAACCCATTGTTTTTCCGGCGAGCATGGGGAAGGAAACCAACCCCTCTACCCAAGATGAGGACATTGACATGCTCCCTTTCCAACAACAACAAACATAACAAGGGCTACGTAAGACCCATCCAAAGCGATCGTTCTGGCGGTCACTTCACGGAACCTGGTGAACAAAAAACCGATCAGTGCACATGTGCCCCCAAGCATAGCATGATTCTGGACTCCTGGGCCACCTCACTTCCAGAGTGGATTGGCCAAAAAAAAGTCTGGACCTTTTTATTCGCCATCATGTATCACAAAAATGGCCCAAACCCAAAGGTTACAAAGCCCCGGAACTCAAAAAACAAACCTGATGCACCTCACAATGCACAAAAGCACTGGGGAGATCTAAGTCCAGGCCACGCCGAATGAATCCAACCCGAGGCCACGGCAAGCTTTTCTGTACACCTGGCCAGCAAAAACCGGTGCTCCGCTCTGGACATGCACCTTCAGGGGTATTGAGGCATTTAGGTACGCTCAAACAGCCAACTTGAAGCAGCAGCGGCTCTTTGCAAAAAAAACATGGCTAAGCCCAGGCACAACAAGAGGGAATGAACACGTAACATGTTGGAATACGGAATCATTCACCCCTGTGGTGGATAGCGAAAATAGCAAAGTATGAATAATACGGCAAAGTTGTGCGATTTCCCAACCTGAAAAGAAAAGCAGGCTGGAACGAACGCAGAACATGTTTTTTCCTCCTGGTGTGGCAATTAAGAGAATTTTCTGGCACTGTGCTAGAACAACAAGGCGCCCGACTGTCAAATACAAAACCCGTAGAAATCCGAGCAAGTATGAAACATTCTGCAATTGAAAGCCCTTACTTAGTTGGTTGTGTTGTTGACGATGCCCTTCCATTGTTTCTTGGGCGCAGCGAAATGGACTTCGCAACCATCAGGTTCTGAAGCTCGGCACCTCGAAAACGCGAAAACGCCAGGAATGGTTGCCAAACCCCCCGTAACTTCGGCACGGGTCCGAGAATCGGTCGGACCTCTGCTTCCAAGCCGGCGTACTTCTGAAAGATGGCCGGGAGCCTCTCAGATCAGAAAGCTCGAACCCAGGCCATCGGTTTGCATGTGGGTCAAAAATACTGCGCGTGGTTACGAAATCCATTTCGCTGCACTTTGCTACCATGGTTGATGCCATTGTTTGGCAGGGGAATTATCATTCCAGTCTGTTTTAGGTGGTGCAGGATTTTATCCATCCACACTAGGTGCCCAACATGGACCCTGGCAAATGGAAACAAAGACTAAAACCTGCGGTCTCGGGGTGGTTTAATTTGGACCCATATCCATATGGATGGTTGCGAAGTCCGAGACCGAACAAAAATGACACCATGGTTGAAAGCCATAACGTTTCTTGACATTTACCGGCTAATCGAATCACACTTATTCCAAGGTTGCCTAGGTGGTGAAGGAGGACATAGAAGGCCCTCTCTCTCCCATCCCTTGTTTTCCCCCGAAACAAGGCCTGAGGTGCTGCGGGGAGGGGCAGCTGAGGCACGGAAAAACCGGGGCCACGAGCTCACATACAAACTGAGGTGGGCTTCCCGTTTGGACGGAAGCTCGCGGCAATACGTGCCGGAGAGCTGACAAGCGCCAAGTGCCAAGCCCATGGGTGATGCAGGGCGATTAACCAACAAAAAACAACTCCAAACAGCTTGCCAATAACACTAAAGTTTTTGCTGTAGGCCGCCCCCCCCCCCGCCCTCCCCAATCACTCGGCATAATTTTCAGGGCCACGCCCCTCTATGAATGTGTGGAGTTATTGATCTGGGTCAACAGGCAACATGACCTTGGGGTCGGCTGAAAGGGAAGCCCTACCGCCATAGTCTGTGGGCAGTCTGTGCTATTTTGGAACAAAAGAATCTGGCCCTCGCGGCCCCCATTCTCACTAACCAGCCTGACATATATTCATCACCCACTTCCTTGTGCTCACGACGGGGGACATACGGGATCGCGGAGTCCTTCTATTCGGGGTACGCCGAGAAATGGTTCCCCAATGCCAACATATCCGGCTTGCACTTTCGAGGGCATGCGCACACTTGCCAGAAAACACAAAAATGCTCCATGTTGCTGGAAAGATCCTTGCACAGGGCTGGACATTCGACCCCGTGTTCAAGGCAACTCAAGACGTAAACCAAGGAAAGCCAAAGGGACACCGTTCAATGTGCTACCCCGACGGTTTCATCTCAGCGTCAGAATCGGGGTCCCGGAGCCCTAGAAATTGTGGTGTTCTTGGTTTCCTTGGCTTGTCTCCGAACGGTGTGGTTTCTTTTATCCATTTACAGCCAACGAAAAGTGGGGCCCAACTCAAAACGTCGACACCCTCCCTTAAAACCAGCCCCTCGGCTAAAATGTCACACTCACCCGAGGCCAGTGCTTCTGAAGCTTCGCGGGGTTCTTGCGCTGGTACACCTTGAGGCATTTCGCCGAGCGGTGCAAAGGGGGTCCAGCAGCAGAAGCGATTGACCGG